CGATAACTTTACGAGGATAATTATTTTGAACCTGATTAAAGCGTAAGCAAAAGTTAGAATAAGGCAAATTAAGTATTTAAATTATGCTAAAAATTACCATGAATATTCAGTGTTATTTACGATAAAAGGAAAATTCGCTTTAATTAACAAGGCGCTAATAAGAAAGCGCCTCAAACCTGTACTTAACCGAAACTACTAAATTGAAAGGCAACTAATTTTGCTAAAGGCTAATAATCAACTCAAACCTTGTATCTCCCTTCTGCTCCTTTGATAAAACATTTGCCTTGCAATGATGAGAGGCAAAAATTTTCAGCAAAAATATTTGACATTGTATGGCACTATCACAACTGCGTCACTAATATTCCCAAATTCAAAAACCCGAAAGCCACAGGTAATAGAGTAACACGATCAGGCGACCTTAAAATTGCAAGCGTCAGGGATCTGGTTTATGCAGATGACAGCAGAAATGTTTAAAGTGGGTTAGGTAACCATCAATCCAAAATCATGGGGTTATATTGTTTGCGAAATTAACCTTTAATAATCTACTGGTCTCAGCATACATGCATATCCTGCTTCAAAAATAGTGATTTACATTTTGACAATTTTGGTTCCCTTCAAGACACATCCTTTTGGGTAGTGGTATTTAGGCTGCATTTCATTTTTCTTATGTACGTTCATTCTTGTCCTTAGGCTAATCTCATTTAGATTTCACATGGCTGTCAGGATGTTTTTCAAGGGCTTTTAAAAAATGATTGTGGAATCTGAAATTCTGCTGAAATTCTACCATCATATTTGTTCAATGTTAGTTAAAGTTTGTGTTTTACTGCTGATTAACTGCATTTCCTTAGAATATAGAGTTAGTTCGTTTCAACGTATTAAATATTTAGGTAAGTAGAACTTGTGCTATCGCATTACATGTGGTTAAACCATACCTTAACGAAAAAAGCATGACCCATACACGCAAATTGTTTTTTGTTAAAATTAAAAATTTGTGATTTCACGACTTCTTACTAACGTCTCCTCCCAAAAAACCTTTGCTAAAGATCATGAAAAACCTAAATTCAGAATTTAATTTAATGTCTTAGTAGTTGCCCATCATGATCGAGTTCATTTATTACGCTGAAGACAAATACGGTCTAAATCAATCGAATCGTCAAGAAGCGTAGTGTTTGACTGAGGTATCGTCTACCTAATCTGCCTACGATTTTATCGAGTCTTTTGCCTATCATGTGCTAACCGAAAAGTTTCTTTGCAAACGGTTACAAGTTAGGAGTGAAAACGGCCACTGGGACAATTATACCAACGCATAGATCGAATATCAGTGTTCTGAGCATTCGAAGTTTCCCTCCAAGTAAGGTTAGGCTTAACATTGTTAATTAAATGAGACTTACTGGATGGCCAGTTGGCAATGTGGGGAAAAACTTTTGTCCAGCCAGAGCGTAAAGGAGGTCGTCCATGCGTGGAAGGGGGAAGGAATCACGAACTGTTACTGCATTAAATTTCCGATAATCGATACAAAGGCGGAGGGAGCCATCTTTCTTCTTGGCAAGGGTGACTGGAGCTGTCCAAGAGGAGGATGACGGGGTGATAATGCCCTGTCGTCTATGAGTGTGTCGAAGTCTTTTCAGTAGTGTACCGGTATGCGCCGTGAGGTGATCTCTGTGGGGGAGCGTCTTTTGTGCTTATGGAGTGCTGGATAACATTCGTTCTTCCGATGCCCTGACCTGCCCAGCTGAACACATCGGTAAACCGTGTCAAGAGTTCATGCAATTGTAGGCAACTATCCACGGGAATGTTAAAGGGAAGAATGTCGGTTATCGAAGTGGGTTCTGCTGGGGAGCTGATGGCGTCGACGTCGAGCACTGAGACAGAAGGTTCCGGTTGTATCCGACAAACCTGACCCGTGGAGCAGTCGATTACACACTTATTGGTGCGGAGGAAATCATACCCTAGTATAACATTTCACGGGCAATTCGGAGAGACTAGAAAGAGATGTTGGGCCTCAATCGAACCGACTTTCACCCGGACCGTAACGGAGCCGGTGATGTCCAGGGTGGAGTTGCTCGCCGCAAGGACCAAAGGAGTGGAAGGGGTCAGCACTGAAAGGTTTGCGACGGGAGGGAACTTAGGGTTGACTATGGACACTGGAAATGGACATTGGTACTAAATGATCACACGATTACTCGAATAGTTAAGGGAGCCTTTGGTTGAAATTTTAACCTTGATTATGGCTGATTCTAAGTTTTGCTGTATTGGGTAACAGCTAGGCATAAGTTAATTATGCCACAACACTCTATTTGGATTTGCTGGATGTAAAGTAGCTAGAATTTGTAGGCACCAAGCGGAGTTGCGTTGTGGAATAATTTAGATTCCTGCATGTCCATGGAGGTTAAATGAACCTGAACTACTTAACCATAGCTGTCAAGAACAAGGGTCCTAACGCCTAAAACAATAATTGTTGTAAAATTGCAGGCAATCTTGCCCAAGGAAGTTAATAGGACACGTCATGCCTAATTCCACCAATGAATGTTCACAAAATGCCTAGAATTTTAAGCGCCATTTCTGCGAAATTCGTCCTCCCAATTTTGCGAAAACATTCAAAGTTCCGCGGAAAGCGTTTGGGTAGTCAAGCCAGGCGAACTCGTATTTACCGCTGCATCGGTTTTGCCGACACCCTGAGGATTTGCTTTGTGCTGCGGGTAGTGATTGTTACTTTGACAGCCGGCGGCGCCTTGGGATGAGTGCACAGTTGTTTTTCAACGAGGAAATCGAACGGAACAAATAAAATTCAGTCAGCTGGTCGAAGTGTAAATTGGCGAGGCTGCTAATTATTTTACCGAAGGAAAAATGAAACTAAGTTTTTGCTTGATAAGAAGCTCCCATTAAACACGCAGGCACTAACGCTTTGCGTCGCCTAAATGGGTAATCATATTAAGTTTTGAAAACGTCAAGTCACTTAGCTGTAAAAGGATTCCTATTGAAAGTTTTCTGTGTCTAATTAACTTCTAATGGTGTTGACATCTTGCAAAAGAACGCAGCTTAAGCCATCATTGCCGTGAATGAGTTCATTCCTGGTACTCGATATAATGGTCATCCCAATTTATGCCCTTTATCGAGACTACGAAAATAGAAAAATCAGAGCTAAAATCACCGAGAGCAGGAATACCTCAGCTATTTACTTATATTAGTGAAAACCTCATATTATGGCTCGGTTTTCAAATACTAGATTGACATTAGAAAGACTCAAGTCCATATGTTCTTGTGCCTTTCGTCGACGTTCTCACGACAATTTAACAAACAAAGTACGAATAAGTCACCAAGTCATGGGTTTCTTTCTAAACTTTTAAACAAAAGCATTTTGTTCCGCTCTATTCTTTGTATTAACTTAAAATTTTTCGGATGATTAGCTAACCATTTATTAATTTCTGGATCTCAGGGACTTAATATTAGCTCAAATAAATGCATTAATTAACAATTATCCAGACACTTAATTTGGAGGGGAAAACATGTAACGTCTACTAATTGTGACTTATTCGCTTTCTGGCACGAGTAAAACACCACCGACAGATTTTATTGCCGTGAAGCACAAGACCACGTTTGTGTCTCCGAAACGCCAGTAAGTGGCAAATTGAAGTCATCTGCGCCCAAATATGGGTTTATAGAATAGGACAGTTTGTCAAATTTGTAAAATTTAAATTTAGCGACCAAACTCAAATCAAACTCACAGTGCATCACAAAAATGTTTTTAGCTAGCTCAAGTTTTCTAAAATAAGTCATTTGAGGCGGCTGCCCAGTCCAACTTTGGCAAAATTATTTAATTTTTTTCGTGATACCACAAGCACCGCACCAAGGACACTAAACAAACCATGTTTGTCCGACCAGCACGAAATTCTTTCGAACGTCTAACTTCGTTAGCAAGGGATTAAACGGGTACCAAAAGTTTGAAGCATTCGGTTAGTTAGCTATTAGGTATTTATTTGGCAAAACAGCAAAATTAAAGGCAAATAAATTAAGTTAACTGTTCATTTAGATTAAGGTAAATTTAAGAATTGGATTAAGACGTTAATACCCTTACAAACGTTAAATAGTCACGATTAACCTTATGAGAAAGGGTCTTTGATTTTATATGTGACTGGGAAAAGACACTACACGATTACTGAAAATGTGTGTTTTAAGCAATTAGGATTTAGTGATGCGCAATTATTTATACTAATTAATAAAAACTAGTAGATGTAAAGTTTGCGGTATAATGAAGAAATCAGGACAGAATGAATGGGGAAAGAAAATTTGACACCGTTTTATGCACGTCAAATTTTACATTTAAAGTACGCAAAAATAACAGATAACTCCGCAAAAATACTAGACTAAAGATCTCAAAATAATTCAGTTTAATGGGATGGCTGCAGACCAAAAAATCACTTAAAATTCTTTACAACTAAAAAAACTGCGTTAGAAACGCAAGTGTTTATATCTGGCTGACTTTCACAGTGGCATGGAAAAATGCAAGTCCAGAGTAATTAATGGAAACTATTGCAGTCATTTGTACTTATAACCTTAAGCGTTGAGACATCTATACTTAATCAGATCGGGACGTTGATGCGTTTAGATTACACAAATAAGGATTGGCAGGATGTAACAAGGAAGCAGAGTTGGAAGCATATTTTAGTAAATCATAGAAAAGTATAAAGTATGCGATTTGGGTCGAAGTGGAAACAGTTAGCTAAATCACTTTAAATGTCGCCTGAATTAGTTTCCTCGTAATCAAAATAATCAGCTTAACCAAAATTATGCAAATTGAGTAATTTAAATGGCGTAAGGTAACACTGCTAGAGCGTTTTACTAGTTGCAGACTCACAATATGAGTCACAGTGCACCCACGTTTGTGCACGCGAAGACGAAGAGCCACCACGTAATTGGTGCACACGGGTAGGTGCGTAAATGCGCATTTGTGTATATAAATGAACGCACATCAACTGTGTTAGCAGATTGAATGCACGAACATGGTGTTAATTCAGCCCATTAAATCTACCAATCAGCTTAAACTCGAAGCAGCGGACACTAAGAAGCCCACCCTTCTTAGCATAGCAATGCGAAGACATGAAACAGCCACAAGCGACACGGAACCATCTCCTTTGGAGGCAATAAAAACAAGAATCATGGAGCAGAGGAAACAGTCTTCAGAACCTGCTGAGTGCACGTCTCCGCCTGCATCCAAACCAATGCCCCATGCAGAGGACGAGCAGAAACCCCAGGAGGATGTTTTCGAGCACGACGGAAATTCACCGACTCACCACCCGGACGATGAAGTGGATGGGGAAATGAATGATAAGGAGGAAAAAGATTTAATTGAAATGTAACCTATCATACTTAATCGTATCTTAATATATATTCAGTCCGTTATAACGCCGTTGGTAAAGGTTAATATGTCCACGAAGCGAGTCAGAGTTACAATGCTAAAACAAATTAGTGTTTACAATATTTTATTTCAAGTAATTCTTTGCAAACAAGTTAACATGCTTCATTGAAGTAATGATTTGGAGATTGTATGCGCTTATATGCTCTCTCTATGGCTCATCATAATGGTTTTATATACAAGTGTCGAAGAACTCGCAATACTAAATATGAAGCAGAAAATCATTTTTTTGAGATTTGGGATAATGAATGTTGTTTGAGAATCGAATTCAATTGCACGATTCTTTAAGCATTTTTGTAATAAATTGCGCAGTGGGGTGCCATAGGGAGTGTAGAAAAGGCTCGGAGCCCAAGATTATGTCAATCACTTTATTGTAAGATTCCACAATTTAAAACAGTTACATGGTGATTTAGGAAAAAATCGTTTTTTTTTCTAATTCTTATCGATCCGTTATGATAACAATCACACAAGTCGTCTCATGTGGGGCTTTGGCGAATGAAGACGTGGGAAATTGAGCATAAAAGGTCCTTCTTTAAGCTCTTTACTTTCACTATTGTAAATTAATGGGAGACATCGAACATACAACACCGAGGCACTTGGACGTTCACGTTGAGCAACCTATCGCCCCTCTGGTTAAACACGGTCAGTGAGATTAATTAGCATTTTCTTTGTGTTTCGCGATCACGAGCACGTGCTATCCTTCATCGAACTGATGGACAAACAACTGGATGTGCGCTATCTGCCCATGGAGGACTGCACCTCTACCGCACCTTTTCTTAAACAGTGGCGTCGAAAGAAAGTCGAACGACAGTGTCTCCTGCCAGTGGAGTTCATAATTAAAGTCGAACGACAGTGTCTCCTGCCAGTGGAGTTCAT